AGAGAGAGAGAGAGAGAGAGAGAGAGAGAGAGAGAGAGAGAGAGAGAGAGAGAGAGAGAGAGAGAGAGAGAGAGAGAAGGCAAGAACGGCATGCATACAACAGTGGCGGATCACATTCAGATCTAGAAATTACAGCAAACAGACTAGGGATTGGAATTCTCAGCAAACAGATCAACAAGACAGCATTTGTTCAGAAACGTGCCGAGGTCGCAGCAGATTGCATCTGTGCGATCTTTGGGCACAGCGCAGATTGCAAATGTGCGATCTTTGGGCACGGCGCAAGAAAAAGAACGTTCCTCCCATGGAAAACCACGTATAACAGGAAAAGTAACACTAGCGCAAAAAAAAGAAAAAGAATGTTCGTTGGTATTCCCTCCTGTTTTCATGCAAGCGAAGCTGCAACGTATCATCTAGTCTTCTTAGTTTTAATTTCGTCTGATTGCATCATTTGAGTATTGACTTGAAATCTGAAGTTGAGCGTTCTCAACTTTTCACATGTTTACCTTTTTCGTATGCAGAGGCGCGGCAGCTTGTAGACGCACGCTGATCAATTGTCAAGGTAATGGAGTCAATGGGGACACGACTTTGAGAGAGAGGAGAGAGGCTTGAGGCTTAAGAAGGCTTACTTAGCGGCTGGTGGCCATAGCTGTATTGAAGAAGAAGACGTCAAGGCGTCGAGGGAATGGCATCTTCAATCAAGATCTTATTCTTGTGGCACCAGAGCTTTTGAGGGTTGTGGGGACGAGGTAGGTTAGGCTGGTTGGGTTGAAATGGCTGGAGGAGGGGGAGTGGCTGGTGAGAAAGTTCCTTGAACCTGCTTGTTCGGAAGGTAATGAGCCGACGAGGAGGACTCGAAGAAAGGCGAGACAGAAAGGCCATGAACGCGGAGGACGAGTCGGGGATGCTCGTCGAGGAAAGCAGTTTGCAAACAGTAGAGAGAAGGGGAAGGCGGAAACAAGGTCACCGCTAAGCGGCTGAAGGGTGCGCTGCGAAGATATCCAGTTTTTTGGGGGGGCGGAGGGGGGAAGACCCCCTCAACGGCGGGAGATCGGATCGTGGTTTGTCAGCGATGGGTTGCTGCTGTCCGACAATTCGGCTGGGTCCGTCGAAGAGCAGCTCCATGAATCCTATGAAGCCGCCGGATTCCGGTCATGATATTCCGAAGCCGGAAATGCCGAAGCCGGAAATGCCGAAGCCGGATATGCCGAAGCCGGAAATGCCGAAGCCGGAAATACCGGAGTCGACGGCTGGGGGTGTTCAGGTGAAGAAGTACTCGGCCGAGGAGATAAAGAGAGCTACTAACAATTTCGACGTTTCCACGAGGATTGGAGGGGGTGGGTTTGGCACGGTGTACAAGGGCACCGTTAGAACGTCAGTGCACACTCAGCAGACCGTGGCCATCAAGAAGCTGGGTGTGGATTCGCGGCAGGGAATCAATGAGCTTGTCAAGGAGATCGAGATTCTTCCCCGTCTTCATCATCGGCACCTTGTCACTTTGGTAGGGTATTGCAGTGCCCCCGGGTGTCTCGCCTTGGTTTACGAGTACATCTCGAATGGGACTCTGAACGATCATATGTACGGCTCCAAGGCTACGCCATCGGGATTGCCGTGGCTCACCCGGATCTCGATAGCTCTCGACGTGGCACGTGCGCTCAGTTACCTTCATCTCCACGTGACGCCGGGCGTCATTCATCGCGATATCAAGCCGTCCAACATCTTGATTGATCAGAAGATGCATGCGAAGCTGACGGACTTTGGGTTGTCGAAACTTCTCCCCGATGACGAGGAGTACACTCACTTGACGACGAATATCAAGGGAACGCAAGGCTACCTGGACCCGGAGTACTTCCAAACTCGTCGGCTGACGGAAAGGACGGATGTGTACAGCTTCGGTGTGGTAATGTTGGAACTGATCACGGGAAGAAAGCCGTTGGAGATAATCACAGGAATGCGGCGATTCGACCTTGTGAAGTGGGCGAGGGCGGAGATGAAGAAGGGGAACATACGCAGTGTGCTCGATCATAGGATCGCTGAAGGCGCGTATTCGGTGGACGCTCTGTGGAAGTTAGCCGACTGCGCCATGACGTGTTGCGAGCCTTATTCGGCAAATCGGCCGAACATCGGTGACGTGGTAAGGTATATCGAGGAGGCGGAGACCCTGCAGAGAGAAGGGTCAAGGAGCGGTCAAGCTTTTCCGGAGAGGATAGGTTCTGGCGCTCAAAACGCAGGACCATCAGGAGGGGGAGCGGGAGGAGGTGGGCATGCAAACCACATGCCGCAGGCAGGAAGAGGAGGAGCATTACCCTCCGTCTCGCCTGCTCGATGATCGGCCTCCACCACAAGGAGGAGAGGCGGAGGTGGGGTATCAATACAAACCTATGCATCCTGGAGAAGGACGACCGCCATATCCAGCTTCTACGTTTCATTATCCCAATGCGGCTGCAGTAGGAACGCCGGTCCGCTCTCCGTCCCAAGCGGTTGCTTACCCACCGTACGATACTCTCCTCGCTCTGCTAACCCCGCTGGTATCCCGCGATAGTAGTCCGTTGCAGCCCTCGGCGCTGCCGTGGCTTGCTGTATCACTGCTGCTGTGGGGATGGTTCGCCAGTTGGGGCTGTGTAACAGAGGAGGATGTGCTCAAGTATATAATAGGTATGATGTCATTTTTATTTGCCCATTCGATGGGGAGCTCTCTCTCTCTCTCTCTCTCGTTTCTCTACTCCTCGGGTCCCGGTCTTTCCGAGCGTGGTAGTTGTTAGTGCTGATGTCGGTGTAGCTTGTGACCTGGTTGGGATTTCAACCAGGGAAAGCCTTGAAGAAAGCCCACGAGGTGGATGCCACTGACGAGTGTACCTTCTCCTGCATGGTCATGCCACAGTGGGAAGAAGAGGATGCAAAAGACACCTCGACGTACTGCTGCGTTCCCGCGCTTGGAGGCGGCGAAAGGGAGAAGGGGCTGCTGGCAACTAGTACGGTGAAGGAAGTCTAGGCATCTAGACTAGAAGGTACTACTTGGATTACCGTACTTTATTTTATTTATTGTGTCAGGCTCGCGCTTGTGTTCACTCTTGTCGGGTTGTTGGTGCATTCGTGTGCATTCGCTTACTGTGCCATTGTCTGCTCTTGTTTGCTAGGGCGCGCTAGTGAGAGAGAGAGAGAGAGAGAGAGAGAGNGAGAGAGAGAGAGAGAGAGAGAGAGAGAGAGAGAGAGAGAGAGAGAGAGAGAGAGAGAGATGCTTATGCTAGACATAGACAAGGAGGCTGTGCATAAAGTGATTGTTTTGTACAGGTACTACAGGATATAGCAGTAGCTTGTAGGTGGGTAGGCGGGTAGGTGGGTAGGTGAGTTGTTTGCGTTGTGAGTTATTATGTGTCGTGATGAGATACTCTATTCGAATTGCTTGCCCTTGGTGACGACGAAGGGGTTGGCTCGTCGATGCTGTCATCGATCCTGAATCAATAATTTATCGGCGATGGACCTATTTTGTCTCTGTTCTTTCTGAAATCTTCTGGACTCTGTGCAATTATTAGGACTCCGTTCCGGTCACGTAATGTTCCTCATTCGTGGAACAGAAATGAAGGAAGGTAGGATGGTTAAGGGAGCGAGGTTTACGTGGAGTAAAAGTAAGATGTCGAGATAGAAGCTTAGTAGGAGCGTAAGTCGAGGAGGAGGAGGAAGAGGCGGGTGATTGTATAAAGATGAGAGAAAGGAGAAAACGAACGGGAGGGGAGGAAGGTTACACTGTGATAACGATGTTGTTGAAGATTGCTCCTGACGTTCGGGACATCGTCCAGGAGCTTCTAAAACTGTGTGTCGTGTATAGCCCAAATAAAGATTGAGTGCGCACTTAACCGTGGTTAAGGCGTTGATTGGTTGGGGCTTTGGAAAGGACAACAGAGGATCCAAATGTGAAAGGATTTGATTGGTTGGGGCTATGGAAGGGATCGAAGAGAGGAGGATTTCTGAGTGACTGATAAGTTCCTCCCTTCTTTGTTCTTCGTGCAAGCTTGGCCATGGTCCAGGGAGGGATTCGTTAATTAATTGGTTGATTGATTGATTGGTGTTGAGGACAGAGGAGCATTTTTTAGAATCAGGGGGATTTAATTTGGGCTCCTAAGATAGGACGATTTGTGAGTGACGTGATTCCCTCGTTTTTTGTTCTGTTTTGTTTTTTGTGTTTTGTTCTTTTTGTCATGGTGAGCGAGCAAAGGTGGGGGCCTGTGGTAGAAAACTCCTCGCAAAAACACCTCAGGAGCATTTGTATTGTCCGGTAATTTTCCAACATTAATTTACGGTTCCCTGTCCTGCTATGGCTCCCTATTAGAAAGAGAGCAGATGCTGACGGCCATACACGAATTGGCAATTGCTAAGGTGGAGCGTACACACAGTAGTATTTTCCTGAGCGCATCCGGTTGTAATACTCGCCAGATTCATTGGAAAAGTCCCGGACCGTGAGTATGCCCTTTTCTCTTTACCTGGCGACTTTGGTTTGCTCGCTTCGATGGCTCTTCTTCTTCCAGGCGTCCGTTTTGTTTTTGTTTTTGTTTTTTTTTTTCTTTCCCTTTCGCATTTATGTTTCATAAGCTCAGCAACTGAATTGTTGCTGTATTAATATATTCGCTACAGCTATGGCCTCTTACTCTGTTTTGCTCGCACTTTTTCTTTTTTTCTTTTTAGGAGGACTTTGCCTGCTTATTTTTAAAAGTCGCCTGCTGCTGTTTGTCTCTCAGAATTTTTTCTTCTCTTCTACTGAGAAATTCTGCTTTGTATGTACTACCTTCTCCCTACATCCTCTATTTGAATGTTCATTTCCCTTAATTAGAAATCGGCTTGTTATTTACTAATCGTTTACTGCCTTTCACAGAATTCACAGTTCCCTTACTCATTTGCGAGGCCTTGTCCTACTGGGTCCTGGTTTCAGCAATATGGGCCGCCCTAAGTGAAGGCAGGCCTGACAGGGGACGAGAGGCCTATTTTGGGGTTTCCACGCAACTGGGAAATTCAGGCAGTTGCGCAGCGTCAGCTGGTTGAGAGAGCCCAGAGCCCAGGCCCTGCCTGCGATTTTCCAAATGTATCTGAGGCAGGCCCTGGGCTAGACACGGGGCATGGACTACACACAGGCTGCACACAGTTAGACACGGGTAACCACCCCAGGCCCTGTGCCTGATTCCCTTGGACCGGGGCTCAGCCACTCGGGGCCTACCAGAAGCTTCTGGGCAGGGGCCCAGCGCAGCCAGGCAGCACGCAGCAGGCAGGCCACTTCCATATAGGAAAGTGCCTGCCTCCGCATTCGGCATTGGGCCGCTTGCTACATGCTGCGCAAGCGCTGCTGCGCTATTGGCAGGCAAGCGCCCACGCGCTCATGGGCGAGCAGGATACACGCAGGCAGCCATAGCCGAGCTGGCCTGCGAGGTGCTGGATGGGGCACATGGTGGTCCTTGGGTGCACGTGGCATATGTGTGGGGAGCTCTTGGGAGTCATCAGCCTGTTATCCCTGGTGTACCTGTGATGAGTGAGACATACCGGGTGCTTGAGGCGAACGGCATTGGCCGAGATCTGCTCGTACTTCGGGGAGCTGTTGACGTCACCAGCGGCATTGTAGATAGGCTAGATAGGATCTGCCATTCGTAGTCTCGGCGCTGAGCGCCAGATAGGGAATTGGCATTGGTTCATTGTTGATGGCGATGAGACTATTCCAACATTGTCACTTGTGAGCTTTCGCTGTGCTCTAATTTGGTGGAACTCGTGTTGCAATTCTGCTTTTGGTTCGAGGTCACGACTATCTGGTTTCATGTGTATGATGCTGCTTGGTTTCTGGAATTCCCTGTCACTCATTTTCCTTGCATTTTGGTATCAGAGCTGTGGTACGTTGCGCTAATCTGGCGCTTGTCTTCTGCCTATGCGGTACATGCATGCGGTCTGCTGGGTGAGCGGCCGTAGGAAGTGTGTAGTGAGGAGGGCGAAGGCAGGCAGGCGACCCAGGTGGAGAGGGGTATCGCCAGGAAGGCTACGAGGTGATTTTGGGTGTTTCACAGTGTGATGAGAACTATATGATGTGCGGTTGATGCTGAGGTGGAATGGCGGTGCAATGCTGGTTGTGCCGAAGCAATGATTGTTCATCACAATCAGCGTCAGGTCATCTGGTGAGAATATCTGTGGTTGGGGGCAGCTATTTTGAGGTATGTTGCTCTTAACCTTATCTACGCTCTTTGACACGTCTTACCGTAAGGATGTGTGTTCTTTTTTGAGAGTCCTCTCATGTGAGGAGTCGAGTGCGCTCAACCTTGAGAGTCGGCATTGCTCACGTGGAGCATTTGGAAGGAGAGGGCGAAGCTATCTGAAGGGCCCTGGACGAAGCACTGGGTCACGGTCACCATGCCAACCCACTGGGCGTAGAGCACGCATGCTTTGCTGCTTTGTCCTTTGTCTGCCTGCTGCGCTGTAGATGGGTTATGAGGGGCAGGCCGGCCCTATAAGGGAGACGAACGTCTATAGATAAATACCGGCGGGGTTACCTTCCATTGGTTGTGATCGTCGTCCTGTTTGCGACGTTAAATAATTTCTAAGGACTTCGGGGGCCATCCTTAAACGCCTCTTGATCTGATTCAGCCAATCGGTCGGTGTAAGGCTCGCTGCACGCGACGGTAAACATGGTGTAGGGCTGGCCAGCTCAGCATTGACTCGGGGCATAGGGGTGGGCCGTGTGCACACCTTTAGACACGCACGCTAACTGGATTGCTCAGGGACGTTGACGTCAAGTGACAATCAAGAAGAAATGAGGGAGGGGTAGATTTGAGGTGATAAGTTTGAGAACAATTCCACTCTGCCAACAGCCATTCAAAACGATTCTAATTTTATTGTGATTAGTTAGATGTACAGCCATTAACATTTGACAGAAAGCATAGGTAGAACTTCTTGTTTTTGCTCATTTGCTTTCTGTTTGCGGACTAGTCAAGTAAGGTAGTTTCGTTGGTAGGAATCTGGACTTACCTATTGGACCCAAATGTGTATACTCTGACATTGCCACTGATTAATCAGTATGAGCACTATGCTGCGGTAGGCTGAGTCTGTCCTAGTGCAGACACTGCACAGTTCTGTATGAGCGACAGGGAGAATCCTGACCTGGACGATAGGATCCTGCGTTCGTCAAGACGCCCATTGGTCCACTTAGCGTAAGGACCAGAGGGTGACCGGTTTCTGTTCCGCCAGCTTAGGGAGAGACAACGGGAGCAGCGGAGGGCCAGGGACGTAGAGGCAAGCAGAGTTTTCGCAAGCGAGGCAGCCTACTTCAGCAGCCATGGCAATTGCTGCGCTGCAAAGTTCCCAGGCTAGCAGTTCAGGAACTGTTGGGGCGACGGTCGCACAGACCGTGAGTCAGTCCGCTGGCGTTATGGCAACCCAGTCGTTAGTGTCAACTCCCGAGGAGGTCGCCATACAGAGAGGAAGTGCTCATGAGGCACAACTACGAAAGGCGTTAGATGAGATACAGGCAAAGAAGGAGACGATGATCAGAAGGTCTAGGATGCAGCGGAGTCAAGCGGACATTAGAGAGTTAGAGGGGATGGACCTGACTCATATGGATGATGATGTGAAGACCGTGAGGACAACCCTGTTAGATGTAGTAGAGATGCAAGACTACCACACGTCGCTCTTGCAGGACATTCAACAGAACCTGGCCGTGCTGGTTGGGCGAGTTCAGGCCGCACCATCACCATCAGGGTTCAGTGCCTGGCCCGTGGTACAGCCTCCTCCTTTGCAGTCTCTCCAGCTTCGGTGCAGGCCGCTTCCCCAGTAGGTATGCCTTTGACAGGTGGGTTACCAGCAGGTCCCTAGTGTACAAGTTCTTGTTCAGACAATGTTCTCCCAACCTCCGTTGCAGACTGCCGTAACTGGGCAGCCCGCCGTCTTGCAGCCAGCACAGCCGCGGGGTACACAGCCCCAACAGCAGCTAGTGCAGCCGCCTGCACCCCAGGGTCCACAGCTTGGAGTGGTGCAGGCACCAGGACAAGGACAGCGGGCTCCCAAGACTTCCATTGCATCGCCTAAGCCCTTCTCAGGAGATAAGAGTGGTGAGGACCTCGACAAATGGTTCAGGTCAGTGCCAGTCTATGTGAAGTGCAAGTTGACCTTGGCTCACGAGGAAATGCTTGTGGCTGCCTCCTACTTAGAAGGGAGTGCAGCAAGGTGGCTAAGTGGGTATGTACAACTACAGGGATATGGTCATGACTTTATTGCGTGGGCAGTCAACCTGAAATTGGATGACTTCCTCAAGTTGGTGGAGGAAAGGTGACACGGTCCACAGGAGGCTCAAAAGGCCACTGATGCGATCCTGACCCTGAGCTCAAGAAAGTCAAGCGTCTGATCTATGTTCCTGGAGTCCGTTATGACCCCCAGGTCTTGGTCACCACTTACCTGAGATGTCTTCCCATATAACTCAGGAATCAGTTGGCAGGCGAGGCCATGATCACTGTACACAACTTCCCCTAGTCAAGAAGGCCCTTGATCTAGAGGCAAAGATCGAGCATGGGCACCAACCCACTACAGATGGGAGGAGGAAGGCACTGCCTCCTAACTGGAAGGCGAAGGGGCGAATTATGTTCGTCGATAACGATGGTTCCACCATAGAGTTAGACGACAATTTCTAGGAGGGAGTAGGCTCAGAGGCGGGCAGCGCAGAGGCTTCAGGGCTTGGAGCAGTCGTTGCCTCAGTTCAAATAGGCAAGGCGACCGGTAGACGCCGCAGAGGCTCCCGATCTAGGAGCAGTCGCTGCCTCATTCGGGGCTACCAGTCCGATCCTGATTTCGCCATGCTACGCGACTATCTTCGGATCATCCGCCGACCAGCCATTATCGCATCGCCGATGGGTACTTGCTTCTCCACTCGCAAGGCAAGGACTTATTGTGTGTTCCACGAGACCGTTGTCTTCGAACTCGCCTTCTCGGTGAGTACCACGACTCGTGACTCGCCGACCATTTCGGAGTCGATCACACTATTGCACGACTTCGGCAACGATTCCGGTGGCCCGACCTCATTACCGATGTCACTCGGTATTGCGACTCTTGCGAAGTTTGCCGACGAAGCAAGCCCCGCAACCGCAATCCCTATGGCGAGTTGCGGCCAATGCCTATCCCACGGGAACGTGGCCTCTCCATTGCCATGGACGTCACCGGTCCCCACGACCGCCTCGGGCACGACGACATCCTATACACGGTTTCTCCCTTGCAAGTACTACGTCACGGCTCTTGCGCGCCTTTTGCACAGTGGCTGGATTTGCAACCACGACGTACCGGAAGACATCGTTAGCGACGCGATACTCGTGTCA